GCTCCACCAATGGCGCAGACAGAAGACAGAAGTTGTGATGCGATTGAGCGAGAAAAAGGCTTCGAAGTTTTCACACAGTCGGATGCAGTTCACAAACTTACTACCAGCCAAGCCCAGTCTGACATCGTTCAGCCGGTGCCCAAACCTGCGTTGGTTTCTACACAGAGCCAATGCATTTCAAAGCAAACGAACGCGCTGGGAATTCAGATCGAGAGCGAAGCACCGCCCGTGGAAATTGTTGCAGAAAAAGCCGCTCCGGTCGTTCATTCAGCACCCCGTGTGGCTCAGACAGAAGACAGATGTTGTGATGCGATTGAGCGAGTAAAAGGCACTGATATGTTCACGCAGTCGGATCCAGTCCGCATACCTGTCATGGTTGACGATTGTGTTTCTGCCTTACCATTGGAAACAAAGCCAGCTTCATTTGGAAAGAACCTGCAGGTCAACCTGGCGGAATTGGAGGCGACACAATCGCAGACCCAAGTATGCCGCATGGGAGCTGCTGTAACTAGTGGCATCGTGCCTCGCGTCGCGCCTGTGAGACTGGATTCATCCCTCGTGCAGTCAAGCGTCTCACGAGTCATCGCACCAGTTCTGGCTGATTCTGCAAGCCAAAGCCTACAGCCGTCACTTTCTTCCCTTGGGGTTCAAATCGAAGCAAGCAAAGAACCCGTCCCAGTCATTGCTCCAGTCGCTGCACCGGTTGTGAAGTCGGCGCCTCCTATGCCAGCGGCTGCTACTGAAGACAGGGCTTGTGATGCAATCTCCGGACCTCAGTGCGCTGACGCCTTTGCGCAGTCCACTCCCACTGTGACGCCCCTAAAATCTTCCATCTCTCAGAGTGAATCCATCACCCGACCGACCTACGTTTACCTCACGGCCCAATGTGTCAACATTGGTACCTATGACTTTAACGAAACCGCCAATACACTTAACCTTCCAGCCGACTTCCTGACATTCGGGAAAACGCAGACAGCCACCCCACTGCTTTCCACTTCATGCCAAACTAGGCCTAAGCCGATGCCGGCACCTATGCTGTCTACCACAAAGACTCAATGCATTTCAAAGCAAATGAACGCGCACGGAATTCAGGTGGAGAGTGAACCGCCGCCCGTGGAAGTTGTTGCAAATAAAGCTGCCCCGGTTGTGCATTCAGCACCCCCGGTGGTGCCTCGAAATGACATGTGGGTACAGGCAGAGTTACCAGCAAAACGGCCACCGTGCAGAGGAGTTCGTATTCAAGCCGGACTGCCTGCTGCCGCGCCTAAAGTTCAAGTTCAGAAGAGGGACGGATACGTCCAGTCTACGCCTGTAGTAATGGTCGGAACGACACAGACCTACGAGCAGGAAGAAACACCACTTATCACGGTGGTGGCCCAACCTAAGGTCGAAACTGCACCGCCTGCGAAGCCAATCCCAGACGATAACATCTTCTCATTCACTCGCGAGACCGTCGCTCGCGTAACACGCAGCAGTTCACGAAAGTCATCGGGACTGATCCCTTACAAGACGCAGGTCTTCTCTTCGCCTAAGCAAATGTCATCTAGTATGCCTGCCCAACTGAACGTTCGTGTCGACGGAGGTAACACTATCACATCCACCACAGAGCAGATCACCTATCAGCAGGCACCTATAGCCTCCAACCTTCCTCGGCGCTATGTAACACGACTACGTTCGCCATCAGCTCGCAACTTCTACACTCGCAGAAATAGGTCTGCAGAACATGTCGACGGTTATGATACCTACGTGAATCGGGGCATGTGTCGTAACTTTGTCAGCGACCACGAACTCTACACTGGCAATACATGCGAACATTGCAGCCCGCATGCCGGTTTCCAGCAGTTTGGAGTCGAGCAGAGGTGTACTGCTACACTTGAAGCCTACGTCCGACAGCTGGGCTACGAGACAGTCCACCGCACCCTCGTAGAGGTGGCCCAGGCCCTGGAACTGGAGGAGTTAGAAGCCACTTCCTACGCGGACCACATCTGCAGTAAACGACCTCGTCTCCAGGATGCTCGAACGCAATACACTTCCACAACTAGCCTCATGAATTTCTATCCGGGCTACTACTCGCTAGCAACCTCC